CTCCTGGGGGGGGGGCTGGGGGTTGGGAGAGCTAAATAAGCAAGTGCTAACTTCAGCACGCTGGGTGGTGCTGGGTGTCCCTTCACAGCGGACACTGGGTGCCCCTCATCTCATTAGGGAGGAGATGACTCGTCGGTGAAGCCCAGACAGCCCCACCCCCCCAGACATGCTCTTATTACTGCCCCCATGGCTAAGGACTGCCAGCCCCCCCCCCCATATAAAATGTACAGTCCATTTCCGACACGCGATATTCGTGGGAGAAATAACTCGTTATTTTTAACAAGGAACTGGGAGTCCAAGTCGGCAGGGAAGGGAGAGATCATGAGGAATGGGGTCCAGTCCCCACATGGAAATGCACCCCCCACGCAATCCATGTACTACAGAGGCTTGGGCACGGAGCATGGGAATATGTTAAAGTCAGCTGCAGCAGTGTGTGCTCAGTGGGTTAAGCCTGTTTGCCTCTGCACTCAGAAGGTTGCGGGTTTGAATCCTATCCTTGGCAGAACAAGTCATATCTCCATTGGGCCTTTGAGCAAGACCTTTGAACTCTCGCCTTACGCCTTAAAGAACAGCAAGATGGGAGATGTGAAAGAAGCATTCCCATGTACCTGTTCTGGTACTTGTGCACATGTCAAACAAAGCATTGCTTTCCTGAAGCCATAGCTCACGCGACAAACATGGCGGTCACATCCTACACAATGTCAGTCTGGTCCTTCAGAAGCAGACCGTCAAAAATGCATGCGACAAAAACACCCACAACCTCAGTGGGAGATGAGGGATAAAAATCCATTTTATCCTTTAACCGGAGGGAAGTCACGAACCCGGACGATGGGGGGGAGGGGGGGGGGGTAGCTTGGGCAACTGGCCAATAAAAGCAAAAGGCATCATGCTACTCTGTTGTGCACTAAAACCCCATGAGGCAGATAAAGAAAGTGTGGCTATGATGTAAAAACAGGACTTTCAGTGGGGGGACAGCAGGCGTTAAATGACAGCGATTGTAATTCAGACGGTCACGGAGCATGAAAGAGGCGAGTGCACCGCCCCGCCATCCAGCCCTTTAATAAAAAACTCATCAGCGTAGGAAGCTGGCTTTTAGGAGCAAAATGCAGCAATAAAAGAGCTAGGAGCTAAAAACCGAAACCGGAGAATGAAACGATGGTTCCAGGACAAAGTTCATTTCAGGAGATGCTATGTTCCCGGCCAGCGTGGGAGTCAGTGACGGACAGCCAGGTGGAACAAAGGTGAACTTTGCTTTCCTGGGCATTGAGAAATCCACGCAAGTCGGGCCTCATGTCGGAACCTAGCGGTCAGTTAGGCAAACTACTGTCAATGCAACAACCAGCCTTAGTTAGAGGGTCCCCAGGATATAACGTACCAAACCCTCAAGATTTCAAAATGGCTGATTAGCGTAGCTTTTGAAAATACCATCAAAATACTATATACTGCATTATAGTGTCTGGACTGTATGATGGTATTAAAAATTAGATACTGCCCAAGCTTAGTCGTAAGCACCCTCAACAGGACCACAAGAGACACAGACCTCTTACATTCATATTTCCAGCTGCACTTAAAAGAAGAATGAATTCTGAGTTTACTAGTCATTTACATATCCAAGATACCCATAAACCAAATATTTTAGCAGGACTATTGCTAAACCTTGAGAGAAGCCTCTCACGTGGTCCAATTCTCAGCAGCCAGTAGGAATGTATTGCATTTACAAACTGCCTGATCTTCTGCAGCAATCGTTGGGTCTTTAAGTCATTTATCTCCATTAGAATACCAAGAGTCTCTGATTAGTCTGAGGCTCTCATGTTTCATAATTGATAATCCTACTCAATTTGTTTTTGAATAAATCAGGGAGTCCCACTCTTTCTGAAGATTACTCTTAATTAGTAATCTTAGAGCAATGGAAAAAATCCTAATTCTGCTAATATCAAATACAAAATGATGGAAACGCAGAATCCGAACAGCAATAATAAAATGTTCAATTTAGGGCAATTAATTATTTGCAATTCAACGGGTTGAGAGTAGTTTGTATTTTCAAATCCTTTGAAGATGTGACATGACGGCTATAACCTTCAACACCATCCCAACTTCCTCCACACCATGATGGCCGTGGGATTTTCACATACAACAAAAATGGAATAGAGCAAAAGTACGGAAAAAGTGGTGGACATACTGTGGGAACCACATGGAAACCGCAAGATCAATCAGAGATTTCAAACATTCTGGGGACGGAGGGGACACTAAAGAGGAACTGCACTGGCCAATGAGGAGCCACCTCACAGCATCGGACTGCAATCGCCATCTGGCAGTGTAAACACGTCGTGCTGGAAACGGCGCCTTCTGCTGGCATGGATGCACAATGTCAGCCCTGACTTATCACCCCACCCCCATTTCATCCATTTTCTTCCCAGCAGGAAACAGAAACGGTGGTTTACAGTGTGTGGTGGGTGGGGGGGGAATTAAAGTGGAAGTTGAAGGTTTTAACATTGACACCTGGCTGGTCAGTCTGATTTATACCCCGGGGTCTCTGTAAATATACGTCCTAGGAGAGAAAACGACGTCAGAACACACTGCTTTGCACCAGAGCTTCGTCTTTGATTGGTACTGAAAAGATCTTCTATGTATCTGCCATCCAGCACTGATCTCTCTCCCTCTATGACAACATCCTGCCATTCTGCGGAGCAGAGATGGAGTAGAGAAGACCCCGCGCGAGCAGATCTCCTGTCTGCCCATTCGACCCACGTTCTAGTCTATTCTAACGAGGCCCGGGCTCACCCCGGACCGCCGGCTCTGTTCCCTTTCCTGTCTTCTGTGGCATTTTTCACTACGGAATTTCTGTCTTTTTTGTTTTTGCCATTTCACCCTAATAAAAACGAATAAAACCGCACACGACCCAGCTGAATCAAACCCGGCTTTTATCGGGCGATGGCCGCCTCCCTGTCCAACTCAAAGGCCTTTGGAAAGCGGGGGAAACATCAATTAACACGCGCAATCGCGCAGTATTTGTTTGGCCGGGCTGGCGGTAAAATTTTCACTAAAAAAGGCCGCTTGTTTATTGAAAGCTCGTTGAACCCGGGAGGCTGATGGGCACGACAGCAGGTGGACGCCCCCCCCACCCGCATCTCCATGACGCACGGCACAAAAACCACGCCGTACCTGACGTTTTCATTCAACGGCCAAACCAGCCAGTTGCTCTTTCATTAAATGCATTCTATTGTCATTCTCCTCCACCTCTTACTGCCACCTGCCACAAAACCGCATAGCGAAATTTTACTATAGAACTACGGTGAGCTGAAATCCTTCTTGGGGGGGGGGTGGCGGCTGTGGATTCCCCACAGCTCTCTACTCCTCTGGCAACAGTGAGCAAAGTACAATTTCCCACCCAGGACCTGATGCCTGATCCAACACGCAAACAAAGACCCGGGAGACAGGCCTAGTCAGCCACCCAGACTAGACGCACATTCGCACTTCAGAGTCTCCGCCCCCACGCGTCGACACCTCTGGCCCCCGCCTGCCAGACAGCACGGGGTCGGCCATGTGGCCTCCCTGCTCCCGGCAGAAGCGATAAAGCCTCCCAGCCCTTCGCCAAAACTGTATCACTGACCTTTAATCCAATATAGCAGGTCATCCGCCTCGGGGCATTTCATCAGACTATATTCAAACTGCAAGTTTCTTAGGAAATCCGGTTATTCCCAGAGAAAGTCAGAGTTAAAGCCTGGACTGAGGCCATCGCCACTCAGCACATGGCCGGAACCATGAAGTTCAGGGCGGCTTAAAATCCACACGACTACAAAAGCACAGACTGCCGTTATTACCCCCACGACTACTAACAAAAATATTTTTAACCGAAATATAGGTTAATTGAAAACGGTTTATACATATAATAACCACAGAGTATAAGGCCACCAGAGCAGGTGAGCGGAGCGTACCTGTATGGAGTACATGATGATCCTGAAACAGGACACCGCAAACTCATTGGGGTCCCACAAGTGGTGGTTATCCAGATGCCTGCAGGAAGGAAAGAAGCGGAAATTATGTAAGACACCAAATGCAGAGACTTTCAAAACACATTTACATTAACGGGCAAAAAAAAAATTAGCACTGCTGTCTGGGACATTTAGCTGGTTAACTCGCTTAACCTGCTTATGGATTTGCCCTTATGTGATTTCCGGAAGCTTAAAGAAGGAAGGCCACTCAGATGGTAAGAACAGCAGAGGGGGTCTAACCACCCTGAGCTAGATCGTTGTTTCTCCATCTCTGCCTATATAATGCTGGCCAGGATTATACCAAAATGTCTGCTCAAGGAGAAGCTTTTTCAGAATAAGATAATCCCATTCGAACCGGCAGCCTCAGGCAAAGCGCTCTTGATTCAGGTTCTGAAGGAGGAGGCTGGCTGGGATGGAAGGAGCTGCTGCCTGACTGGCCTGGACTTCGTGCATGACAAATGTAACGGTGAGTACTGACACTTTGCCAACACAAACCTAATCAACACACATAAAAAGATTGAAATCCTTCTTAAATCCCATTAACAGGCTCTATAACCGAAACCCCAATACAGAGATAAAATATAATATATGTCCATTGTAGAATTTCCCCACGGAAAGGAGGGAGAGAGTCCCTGGCTGGAACGACCTTCACGTGCAGAACACGACATCACGGGTAAGCTTGGCCCGTCACTGAACATCGAAAGCTCTCAAGACGGCTACCATTTCGCCGCAGATTTCACACGTGGCTCAGAGTGTGGAGACGCCGAACGCGGTTAAGCACTACGGCCCTGGGTAGGCGGGCCCGGGTAGGCGGGCCTGGGTAGGCCTGCTGGGCGTCAGGCTGGGCTCTGTAACACAGGCCACTGAGGGCAGGATGGATGAGCTTTACACAGCAGAGCGGCAGCAGCCTTTAGGTTCCCTTATAAACAGCCTTTTATTTCCCAAGGAGCCTCTCTGACTTTAAGAGAATCCAAAGATTAAAGATCAATTTAATATCGGAGACACAGACTCTTTTATAATAAAAGTGCTACAGGCCAAAGACGGATCAGCCTGAAATCAGCCCAGCTATCACACCACGCTCCCCCCCCCCCCCCCCCCCCCCCCCCCCCCCCCAGTTGGCCCCCCCCCCCCTCCCCCCCCCCCCCCAGCTGGCACGCTCCAGGCTCCCATGCGAGCTTCACTCAGACGAAGTCCCCAATTATTGGCATGTAAGCACAGCAGCCCCCCCCCTCACCATGTTGATACCGCAGTCAGTGCTTCAGGAACTTTTTGTTACTCATTTATCTCTGACGGCCAGAGACACAGACTGGACACGGTCCTAGCAGAGCGGCGGACGGCGGATCATTCCGGCGTCAAGCTAAGCCCCCTGTCATTGGTGGGGGCTGGAAGGGGTGTTGGGACTCACACACCTGGAACAGGAAGCCAAACATCGCCACGTAGCAAACGCTTGGATTATAAGAGGGCCACCCAAGTGCCGTTACCAGGTGAGATCGCTGCCAGACAGGCCTGGGGCCACACTGAAGCCAAGGCCTCTTCAGGTGACTGACAGCAGCCCAGACTCAATAGATCCACAAGCAGAGCATTAGACAAACAACACAAAGTTTGTTGGTTCAAATCCCAGCGAGTACACGTAAATAGTACTGTAAATTGTACACATCAATCTACTGTAAGAACTGTGCTATATGAAATGAGGCCTGATCACGCCGTACTCTGGGGCAGGAATACCGGGGGGGGG